CTTTAATGACCAGGCCTCAGCACTTCTTCATTACGGAGGAAGATCAGTTTCATATGATTCAAAGTCGAGAGCAGAAACGTACTGGGTGGGTAGGGAGGTTCTGTCTAATGAGGCTGTGTGTGCGAATGCTTGTTTCTCTGCCTGTCGTGTGCTGTTATTCAAAGCTCCCTTCATCCTGAACAATCACTTTTTCAGACAGCATCACCATTCATGTGTGCAGATTGTTTCTGGCAGATCCTTACAGCTAAGCAACTTTTCTTCAAGGAGGGTTGTGTTTAATCGTCAGCCTTCACATGGTGTGGCTTTAATCAGAATTATGCGATCGCTGGCGATGAGGAGCTGTGGCGTACAGCATGCGATTATAAGCCTGTTTGTCTGACAGGCTAATTCTCATTAGAACACGTTCTGTGGTCTCTCTCGTATGAGAGCCTGCCAAAACAGCTGTGTCAAAAGAGGTCACAGCATAATTATCAACCTGTGGTGGTAACGACCAATTTATTCCTCATTTTCCTGACTCTGTGGTTATCTGTAGCGGTGTGACGATGAAGCTGTTCGGATCTTGAGCCAAAGCAGGTCGATGGGATCGGGAGAAAGTTATCCGGTAGCATTCCCGGTCATCTAATGTCAGCCGCTTGGCATTTATCGTAATAAGCAACGCTTTTGTTCTCATCAGTTAAATTTCAGTTAAGTGCAACTTTGGATGGAAAAATGTGGGTCATTTATCACTGCTTTGGCACAAATGCATTCAATGTCATTCTTCTCTCACTTAAACACAACCACTGCCAAATGGACCTACAGGCCATTTATACTCTTTTCTGAAATGTTAAACTTAAGTTCAAAACTTAACTTAATACAAAACTGAATAAGACATTTCTACAGTAACGCCATGTTCAAATATATTCTGAAACATTTCGACTAGACAGGTGTTAATCTTTACATTTTATTACAATCTGTTCAAAAGGGGAACAACTTAAGAATACTGTTGCACGGTAATGTAAGCATGTTTTTTATTTTTTTATTTAAATGTTTTGAGTGCTAAAGTGTGCTTTGTTGGGTCACGTCCTTTGCTAGTCTTATGTAAGATTGAGTTACATTCAAAGTATTGTCCTAGAACTATAAGTACACTTTTAAACTCTATATTTGTCAAATGTGAAATTAAAAGTTTTAAAGTAAATCTGAAATCATTGTTCTTTTGTCATGCTTTAAAGGTGCATTGCGCAACATTTCATGTTAAAAATACCTGTTTTTCTAACCCATACCGCCTGATGGGCTTTCTCTGATCGCCTCTATTATCCTGTAAAGTAAAATAAATAAGAGGGATTCGGGACGGAATTTGAGACGGGGCGTGACGTCACGCTCACCTGGCATTGTCTGGCAGGTTTGTGTATTCGCCGCCATTCTCCGTATCAGCGAAGACAACTCGAGCGACACAACTTTAGTCAACTTTCCACAAAAGTAGAAGATGGATTCAAAGAGACCGGCTTGTAGTTTATTCCGAACCCCAACGCAAACTCCACGCAAGACAAAGAAAATAAAACTTTTGTCTAGTGCCAGGTGTCGGAATAAGACGAGAGTCAACATCGGGAAGCTTTCAACAAATGGCGAGGTCTCCGATCTGCTCTACGACTCAAACGGGCCCTATACAAAGTAATAACTTATATTGTTCATTAACGTGTTTCCATAATAATACAATCATAAGTGGATACAGTAAGCACATAAAACAGTTCAACATGGAGATAGATGGAAACAAAAACCGTTTCCCCCTCACACACATTTACTCAAATGTCTTTCCTTTCATATATTTAAAATGACTTGCAGATTTATAACTTTATTACCTCTGAAGACATTATGACTGTAACAAAAAATGTGTGCGGCTGATGCTGGTTATGAACAGCTTGTGCAAGCGTGTGTGTGTGCGTGAGGTCCAGTTTCACTTGTCGCCAGAGGGGGCGTAGTTCTCCTTGCGCAATGCACCTTTAAAGAAGTACACTTTTAATATGTTGACTAACATACTAAAGCAGGCATGCTTCATTATAATTTTAACCGTGGTGTGGTATTTGATATTACAAAGTACATATAAAGTTAATAAATGTTTTATTATTCCTTTTATATGTAATAAATTGCAACTTCATTACAAATATGTAATTACAAATATATTGAGGGATTCATGTGCATTATTTCAACGCTGTTTAGTTTTTATTCGCGCCAATTCAGCATTAGTAACTTAATTTTCTGATCTCCTGTTCATTGCTCATTTTAATTGTTTCACTCGTGAATTCAGGGAATTGCTAACTGGAGACTTGCTCTGACCAGATCATCTGAATTAGTGAGATGTTGACTCGAGAGCAGAGGCAGTCAAATCAGTCCAATTCACAAATGAATCTTTCAGTGTCAAACGTTTTAACAGGTTAATTGAAAATAATCAGCTTGTTCACGAATCGGACATTGCTATCGTGTTTAGGAGCGGGTGACTGTTTCTTCAGTTCAAAATAACAAGGAACGACATGTGTTTATGAAATGTAGCAGAGTACGCTTTGGAATGTATGAAGTTAAAGTTTCTGTTCACCATGTAACGGAAGTGAAACTTCTTCTTGAACGAGAAGAAATAGGGTGGGACTTAATTGGTGGTTTTAATTAGATGGTTGTGGTTTGCTATTGGTTGATCTAATGTGAGTGACTGATTGTCCCGCCCTCATGCCAGTAAACACATCATCAGAGAAGAAAACAGATGCTACAAGAGGGAGGGGAAGTTATGTTGATCAAAGATTACAAGGGCACATGCATTTAATAAATGATAGTGATGTAAACACCATAAAATGCACATCTTTGGTTGAATGGCCGTCAATGAATAAAGATGCTTCTTGCTGGCAGATACTATAGCTGGTCCATTTATCTGGCTGGGTCACACTCACCAGCCAAACCTTGACCCCTTTGAGCCAGACTCTATTATTGACCTCTCAGTGGTCTGCCCTAGATGAGTCCAACTCCATTGAAATCTAGTAGAGAGAGCGTGATGTTTTTTCTCTATCTCTATCTGTCTCTTCCAGCCCATACCCTTGATCAGTCTCACTGACATCACACTGTGGGAGTTTTATAAGCATGATGCCTTCCAGCATGATTTATTTATTTCACAGGTGTTGCTTTCCTATCATGGAGATTAGTATGACTGTGCTTTGGTTTCCCTGACATATAAAGGTTCAGCGACAGCAGCTCGGGATGCTTTGGCAAAGAGCCCTTTGTTGAAAGCATTGACTGTACTCTACATAACTTATTTATGATTTGTATTTGGGACAGAGACAAAAGAAGATCCCGGCACATTGTATTTATTTCTTTTTTGTGTTATGCACAGCAGCGTCTGTCTTTTTGGGTTGGCAAAGTGTTGCAATTCTAACAGAGAAGTACATTATAAATATATTTGTGTGTGTGTGTGAGAGTATTTATGTGGGTGAGGCTGGTTGTTTTGTAGCTTAGCGTTCCAGGGGATTTTTGACTGGTTAGTATTGGGCCCTGCTGGGAAATAGTGACATATTTAATGTGCATTTTATATTGTGCATTTTAAGATTTTTTTTTTCAAATAAGAAATTCATACCTTTTATTCAGCAAGAATGCATTAAATTGATTATTTATATATATATGAAGAGTTCAGATGCAAAAGCCTCTAAGTGCCATTTGAAATTTTCTTCTAGAATGATCATTTTTATCAAGCTTGTATATTTAAGTTCAGTAATTTCACTTAAATTGCAATGAGGATTACCTATTAATTGTCATTTAAGTGAAATTACTGAACTTGAATATATAAGCTTGATAAAAATGACCATTTTAGAAGAAAATTTCAAATGGCACTTAGAGGCTTTTGCATCTGAACTCTTCATATATATATAATGACACACACACACACACACAAAAAAAAAAAGTTAATAAATGCTGTTCTTTAGAACTTTTTCATCAAAAATTCTTGAACTTCTACAGCATTAGTTATTGTTATTTTCACCATTTGTTAACGTTTTATTATCTGTTAACATAGTAAATGCAGCGTGATCTAACATGAACATGAATATTTGTATTAACTTCGATTACCAAAGGTTAAAGGTGCTGTGTGTAATTTTTGACTGTGCTAAAGCATAAAAATACCATCATATGATTGCAGAGATTTAGGAAACATGCTATGTTCACATAGTTTCTTCTCTACTTTGAAATGTGTGTTTCGTGTCTGAACGTTTGTTTTTGTTTTGGTCTGTATGATCCCGCCCACTGCTAATTTACCCAGTGGGTTTGCCAGTTGGCGTAAAACACAGCGGCTTGCAGTCATGGAAGCCAGCAAATGAATTGGGTCAGAGAGTCTACTCAACCTAAAAATCCTCGCCATCCAACTAAAACTCTGAACGGGAGTACACTCTTAGAAGAAAGGGTTCTATATAGAACCTTAAAAGGTTCTATCAGCGCTACGTATTTGGAACCCCTAAAAGGTTCTATACACTCTTAAAAAAAGGGTTCCTCTGGGTTCTATATAAAACCCTGGGGTTCCATACTTGGCCAATAGAACCTTTTACCAAAAAAAAAAAAAATGGTTCTATATAGAACCATTTTGGAGTTCCATATATGAAGCAGGGGATGGAACCATTTCTGGTTCTAAATAGAACCATTTCTTCTAAGAGTGTATATTAAAAAGTGGATAAATCAATGTCCTCAATGTGGCAACCCGTGTGAGTGTGAGGTTGGTAATGCCAACTAACAACTTAACGTTAACAAATTAGACCATTCTGTAGTACTGAAAGGCTTTTAAAACGGCTTTTATATTTGTATATTTTTCTCTGTCTGCTACCTTAGACGCCAAGAAATCCTTAAAAAGGCCCTGACGTGACTTTGAGGCGAGGTCATAAGTTCTTGTTCAGGGTTTTCGTGGTGAAGTGTTGGATGTTTTCTTGAGTTCATCATCCACTCACAATGGCTTGAAATCCTCCAGGGCCGCTGTAACCTGCCGTGCAGAATGAATTTGCCAGGCATGCCATAGATTTAAAGAAGTCATCTTTCTATTTCTTTTCTCTTCCTGTAGCTATGAGGGGCTGGAGAAGAAGCTGAGGGAGGTTTTCACCGAGAGGACAGGAATTTTACGACAACTCTCCAAAACATCAAAGGAGCTGGACAGCATCAAGGGGAACCTGCAGGTAACACTCTCCGGCCTCACTGCGTGCTCATGGGAAACTTAAAGGGATTTGTGTTTCTTTGAAAATGTAAATAATCCATATGAGTGCATTTTTGTTACATGATTTAATGCTAGCAGATGGAGATTTTTTTCAAGATTTTTCTTCTGTGTGAGAGGCGTCTCACTTAATTTTCTAACTCTCTGTGGCTGCGCAAGGTTTTGCACTATGGTGTTTCTGCTTCTCAGATCTTTAGTCCGCTCTTATCATGTGTTGCTTTTGCATTTTATGTTTTCTTGACATTTTCACTTAATGCAATTATGAGGTGTAAACATTTTCTATACCTTAAAGAAGGATTGAAATATTATTTAGGGCAGAAGATTGTCTGTTTTTGTGTCTCCATTGTATTATTTATTTATTTATTTATTTATTTAGTACACATTGTGCCCTTGTGAATATTTCTGACTTTGCAAAGGTTAAAAACAAAAAGAACATAACATTTTAATTGAAAACATTCATTATCTTCTAGTAGGTAAAAGGGTAACACTTTACAAAAAGATTAAATTAGTTAACATTGCATTAATGCAGTAAGTATTAAATGCATTAAACATAATTTATTGTTTATGATTGTATTAAAATATAAGTGCCTTTTGGAGAAAAAAAAACAGAATCTTTAACAATAACTGTATAATGTTTTTGCTGAAATGCATGCTGGGAACCTTTTAACAAAACTGCTAAATTAATTCGTTAATTGGCTAGTCAGCCAGTCAGTCAGTCAGTCAGTTTTGGCTATATTTGAGGAAATATTAATATGTTTTTGATTTTGAAAAGATTGTCCTCAGCCTCAATTTGAGAAGGGTATTTTTCACCCAAAAATGTTAATTCTGTCCTTTACTCACACTTGTGTTGTTCCAAACCTCTATGGCTTTCTTTCTCCTTTGGATCATAAAAGAGTCTCTTTTTTTTTTTTTTACCCATGCAGTGTAAGTTTGGTAACTGTTTGATTTGGTCAAAATATATTTTTATTTTGCCAAAGAAAGTCAGAAGTGACATGAACAAATTTTCATTAGTGCACCGTCCCACATATTCACAACCTATAAATAAGGCTTGTTTCTTGTACATTTCGATGTTAGCTAGCCAAAGTAGATGGGTAAACTCGCTGGCTGAACTAATAATTGCAAATGAAAGCACCCTATTACATGCGATTGCATGAGAGATCTCTCAGAGAATCATTGAGAGCAGAATTATCTGTTGGATCTGTTGAACAGGACACAACAAACCACTAAACCAATACACAAAACACAGAGTAATTTTAAAATACAGTAAAGCACAACCAATAGTCAGCCGCTATGCAACTATAAAAAACTGAGCTGCATTAATAAACCTGGCAAGCAGACCTGTGAAGCGGTGCTGGCGCATGTGGAGACAGATTAGCCACAAAGAGAACGCATTATTCTAGGTATCTGAGCCAGTCGATCAAATACTTGATTGTCTTGTCCAATGGCAGTCAACCAGGCACTGGTGCCCGAGAAGGAAAAAACATACGCTCCAAATGCATTCAATCTAATTCATAGAGTGATTTATTGTTCTGCTGAAGTGCTTGGAGCGTTAATGGATAAGGACAATAACGGCGTAAATAAAACTGACAGAAATAGTTTGAAAGAGCTTTTATTTATATATATATATACACTCACCGGCCACTTTATTAGGTACACCTGTCCAACTGCTCGTTAACACTTAATTTCTAAGCAGCCAATCACATGGCGGCAACTCAGTGCATTTAGGCATGTAGACATGGTCAAGACAATCTCCTGCAGTTCAAACCGAGCATCAGTATGGGGAAGAAAGGTGATTTGAGTGACTTTGAACGTGGCATGATTGTTGGTGCCAGAAGGGCTGGTCTGAGTATTTCAGAAACTGCTAATCTACTGGGATTTTCACGCACAACCATCTCTAGGGTTTACAGAGAATGGTCCGAAAAAGAAAAAACATCCAGTGAGCGGCAGTTCTGTGGGCGGAAATGCCTTGTTGATGCCAGAGGTCAGGGGAGAATGGCCAGACTGGTTCGAGCTGATAGAAGGGCAACAGTGACTCAAATAACCACCCGTTACAACCAAGGTGGGCAGAAGAGCATCTCTGAACGCACAGTACGTCGAACTTTGAGGCAGATGGGCTACAGCAGCAGAAGACCACACCGGGTGCCACTCCTTTCAGCTAAGAACAGGAAACTGAGGCTACAATTTGCACAAGCTCATCGAAATTGGACAATAGAAGATTGGAAAAACGTTGCCTGGTCTGATGAGTCTCGATTTCTGCTGCGACATTCGGATGGTAGGGTCAGAATTTGGCGTCTACAACATGAAAGCATGGATCCATCCTGCCTTGTATCAACGGTTCAGGCTGGTGGTGGTGGTGTCATGGTGTGGGGAATATTTTCTTGGCACTCTTTGGGCCCCTTGGTACCAATTGAGCATCGTTGCAACGCCACAGCCTACCTGAGTATTGTTGCTGACCATGTCCATCCCTTTATGACCACAATGTACCCAACTTCTGATGGCTACTTTCAGCAGGATAATGCGCCATGTCATAAAGCTGGAATCATCTCAGACTGGTTTCTTGAACATGACAATGAGTTCGCTGTACTCAAATGGCCTCCACAGTCACCAGATCTCAATCCAATAGAGCATCTTTGGGATGTGGTGGAACGGGAGATTCGCATCATGGATGTGCAGCCGACAAATCTGCGGCAACTGTGTGATGCCATCATGTCAATATGGACCAAACTCCCTGAGGAATGCTTCCAGCACCTTGTTGAATCTATGCCACGAAGAATTGAGGCAGTTCTGAAGGCAAAAGGGGGTCCAACCCGTTACTAGCATGGGGTACCTAATAATGTGGCCGGTGAGTGTATATATATATATATATATATATATATATATATATACACGTATACAAAATATATCCACCACTGGAATGGATAATCATGATTTTGATGCAGTTTCTATTCATTGAGATTCAGTGTGTCACTCTTTCCTGCATGTGAACGCATAGCAATGTGTGATGGTTCTGTTAGGATGTTATGTGGTGTTGGGAAAGTTCACTTTCTACATGAACTAGTTCAAAGTTCAGTTCACACATTTTAAAATGAACTAGTTCAGTTCATAGTTCATACTTCAAAAAACGAACTAGTTCATTCAAAGTTCTTTTTTTTTCCATATGTTGCGAGATTTTATTTTATTTTATTTTTTTATTGCCACATCCCATATACAGCCACAGACAACAATTATTTTATTGATGGGCAGTTTGCATAGAAATGTAAGATTTTTCCCATCCTCACTGACCTCGTCATAAAATCCGTTTAAATGATCATACGACGCCTCCTCGCTCGCTGTTTTGTCGACGGCGGCCGCGGCATGACACTGGTGTCTTGTGTTGCCAGATTGGGTGTTTTTTCCGCTATATATTAAAGGAGTAGTTCACTTTAAAAAAAACTTTGTTGATAATTTACTCACCCCCATGTCATCCAAGATGTCCATGTCTTTCTTTCTTCAGTCGAAAAGAAATTAAGGTTTTTGATTAAAACATTCCAGCATTTTTCTCCATATAATGCACTTTAATGGGAACCAAACGTTTCAAGGTCCAAAAGACAGTTTCAGTGCAAACTGCAAACTGTTCAAAGGGCTTTAAACTATTTCAGACGATGAATAAGGGTCTTATTAAGCGAAACGATCAGTCATTTTAAAACTAAAATAACAAAGTTTAAGTTTAATAAGCTCAAATAAGCCTTGTTTAATAAGCCGTGTTTTATAAGCTTAATAAGCCTTGCTCTGTTCTGTGATGCACGCTTGTGACTCTCCTGTTCGAAATCGTTCATCAAAATGAACAAATCTTTTTTTGAGTCATTCATTCGACGAACGAATTGACTCGGGAAAAGATTTGTTCATTTTGATGAACGAGTTTGAACAGGAGAGTCACAAACGTGCGTCACAGAGCAGAGCAAGGCGAGCATTTGTGCTTCTAAAACTTAAACTTTGTTATTTTTATTTTTTTAAATGAGCGATTGTTTCGCTTGATAAGACTATTATTCATCGTCTGGAATCGTTTAAAGCCCTTCGAACAGTTTGCAGTTTGCACTGAAACTGTCTTTTGGACCTTGAACCGTTTGGTTCCCATTAAAGTGCATTATATGGAGAAAAATCCAGAATTGTTTTCATCAAAAACCATAATTTCTTTTCGACTGAAGAACGAAAGACATTGATATCTTGGATGACATGGGGGTGAGTAAATTATCAGCAAAAGTTTTTTAAAAAGTGAACTACTCCTTTAAGGCCAGTTTACGTGTGTTTTAGCCGGGTTTTCGCCTGGAAGGCTCTATAGAAATCTGGCACCCTACTGAATGAAGTTAAACTGAGAAAGCGTGCGTTCACAGACACCAGAATGAACTCATTCACAGTAACTATCATCAGGCAGTAATACAGTACGTTCAGTTCACGTTTGCCCAAAATATGAACGCGTTTAGGCATAACACTGGGTGTTGAGTATGCAAGAGTCGCAGAACCTCAAGGGCCCGACTGCTGAATCCTTGGCCCTGCGCCGAACTGCTAGATCCCTTGAGGTTAAGGCCGGGATCTCCAGTGGATTTGTAAAACCATGATCAACTATGACCTTTTTAGTGTGATCAATAATGGATATGTGACCGGTTAACCTTTTTGTTGAGCAGATTTACTGTCCATACTGTTTATTTTTATAATGAGATCTCCCCAGAGTGCTGCTCATCATCATTAAACTTCGCCTGATGGAGCCTGTAGTCTTGGCAGGGGTTTGTGTGTTTGTGCCGGCACATTCCTGCCAGCTTGGCCTGAAAAGACACTGCGATGCCAATCTCAATACAACTCAACAGCTGCACAGATGGTCTTCCCCTGACAAAGCTTTGCTGCTGTTAGTTTCTGGAAACACGGAGGAGTCCGAGCGGGGCGATAGAGCAATAGTGATGACCGATATGTTTCATGCCAAAGAATGTCAAGTGGAGTGGTGTTGTTCAAGTGCTGCTGCCCCGTGATCAGTGTTGGGACTCACAACTTATATAGGAATGTAATTGCGATGTCAGAGACTAGAATAATCTTGTTCTGTGTTGACGAAAATAGTAAAGAGAACAGTTTTAAAATGGACCAATACTGAAATCATTTTTTACAAAATATAGATTAACGTTAATGTGTTCACTTTTGATAACAAGTCTGATAAACAAATTTTTTCATAACACTTTTTATTTATCTATTTGTCTGTCTGTACTGTATATTCTATCTATCTATACATCTTCTATCTCTTTCTATTTATATTCTATCTATCTATCTATCTATCTATCTATCTATCTATCTATCTATCTATCTATCTATCTATTCATCCATCCATCCATCTATCTATCTATCTATTCATCCATCCATCCATCCATCTCTCTATCCATCCATCCATCCATCTCTCCATCCATCTATCCATCCATCCATCTATCCATCCATCCATCCATCTCTCTATCCATCCATCCATCTCTCCATCCATCCATCCATCCGCCCATCCATCCATCCATCTATCCATCCATCTATCCATCCATTTCTCTATCCATCCATCCATCCATCCATCCATCCATCCATCCATCTCTCCGTCCATCCATCCATCCATCCATCCATCTCTCTATCCATCCATCCATCCATCCATCCATCTCTCTAATATTTTATAAGGAATATTTGCATGGATGCAAAGGTGTATGACACTTTCAACACTTTTATTATTTTTTGTTTAATTAAATTTTGGATTTTTATATCATTAGTTTAATTCTGTTTTCTAATGAAAACCTGCTTGTAACTTTATGTATATTCAAGTATTACACAAAAAAAAAACATTTCACAATTTGTATCACTCCACTTGTTTCTGCCAGATACTGGCTGCATTTTTCACAGAGGAGCAAATGCACTATAAACGCACACGAATTCGTATGATTTGTCTAAACCAACGTGATGGGTAGGTTTAGGGGCGGAGTCAGGTGTAGGTCATTTGGTTATTGATTCGATAATTTTAACAAAAGTAGTTAACTAACCTTATTGTAAAGTGTTACCCATTTAATAATATTACTCCTCATCACAACCCATGACTTTTCTTTGACGGTGGAATTTTTTTTTGCATATTTTAATGGGGGAAAAAAAACAAGCTCATAATAAACCCCAGAATTGGTCAATGTACAATTCTAGAAATGATCTGATTGAGAGGATTCATATCGTTCTCTTTCAAGGTTTTACATTCCATTATTCATGGTGTATGCTGATTGAAGAAAATGGAAATGAGGCTATAATGAGAATTAGTCAGATTTCCTCCCTCTGATCCTGCTGATGTTTCTCTGAGGAGGGAAACAGATGCTTTGGAACGGCCCCACCAAAGCATCATTTCTCAAATTGGTAAAGCTCTATTTACTGGGTTTTCCAGGCTTAAGGCCATTGCACACTGAGCACGAAATATTCGTATGCGTATTTTCGTGTTCGTTAGCTTAAAAATTCGTCACGCATAGAAACCTTGCACACCGAGTCCGTTGCGTATTTCTTAAACCTTTGCGGGGAAAAACGCAAAAATACCAAATGGATTCGTCAAGCAGTGAGGATGATTTTTGCCCTCTCTTATTGAAAAGAGAAGAAAGAGAAAATATTACGTCCATCCAATCCTGAAATTGTGCCGAGAGGAAGGAGTTGCGAATTTATCCTGAGCGATTCAAAATTTACCTCAGAATGTCAGCGGGACAGTTTGATGCTTTGCTAGCGATTCTGGAGCCACATATTAAAAACAAGACCACCAATTTCCGTAAACCAATCGATTCTGAACGGAGACTGGCAGTGTGTCTGAAATGGACCAGGTATGGACACACACACGGACAAACACACACCCGCGCGCGGCCCGTTGGAAGCACTGGGCAGACAGAACAGCTAGGCTGTTATTGTGTATATTGTGCCCAAATAATAGATTAGTTATCGAATAGGCTGCTCAATCACACCTTATTCGATCCTAAATTTCAATCTGATTGAAAGGGGAGGTTTATTAATTTCATAATCCAATATAGAGAAGAGAACAAACACTTGATCGAATTGAAAACCGAAACTGAAAGCACGCCGCATATGTGCAATGATTTGAGGACGAGCTCCCCCTGCCCTGAATTGTCAAAAGACCTCTCAAAATGCTGGCTCTGGATGCGAAAAACGCAGAAAATCGAACCCGATCCGATTAATTTTATGACGGACGAAAGTTTCGGAGGCGGTGTGCAAGCGTGACTGACATAACGTGAGGTCGAATTTTTTTTTTAACGTGCGAAAATTTCGGATGCGAATTTCGGACTCGGTGTGCAATGGCCTTTACTGGGAAAATCAGCATATAGGAAGATGTCATATCTTTACAGATGAACAAATATAACAGTGTCAGCATTATCTGCCAAGTAAAATCCAAAAATATACAGCTCAAACACTCACATACAGTTATACAATATCGTAAAGCATACATCACAGCCTTTCTGTTCTTTCTCCACAGTCTTTTAAGAATGAAGATGCCGTCCCTAAGAAGGATGTGCAGAGGATCCTGGAGCTCAGTCACAAGCAAAGGTAAATGCGTTTATTACTCCCATGATCTGAATCACTGTATAAAGTATTGACTGTATGATTCGGCAACTCTCAAGGTCTGTTCACACCAAGGTAACTTTATAGATAACTATAATAGTGTGCACATCTAATATGCTGATTTGCTGCTCTAGAAACATTTAATATTATTATAAATGTTGGAAAGGTTGTTTTTTTTCTGGATTTTTTGATAAATTGAAAGTTCAAAATAACGGTATTTTCTTGAAATAGAATTATGTTTAATATCATAAATGTATTTACTGTCACTTTAACCCTTTTTCTGTCACCCCCCTTTTTGAGAATGGGGGTTAAAATGCACTTAAATGGTTGTAAGAATGCTTTGGAATATATACCCAAGTTTGGTCTTGTTTTAAAGAAAACACTCAGCTGAATATTGCTGAAGTGAAAACACTTCAAAAAATGAAAGTATGAAAAAGTTCTGGAAGTTTAAATTTACAGTAAATCAAATATACTGTACTATATATTTTTATTTGATATAAAATATATTTTACAAAATAGTTTTTACTTTAAAATCACTATAAAATCAAAGTCATAATTCTAACCAAGTTATGTTCCAAATTTGAAGTTGATATCACAAAAATTGAAGTATTTTATTTAGGCGTAGTACCAAAAATAGCCATTAAACTCCATTGAATTTAGTTATACTGTATACATTCTGCCTCAACAAATGAATAAATTTCTGTCACAAAATTTGGAACCTTGAGACACAGACCTTTCTGACAATATGTGTTGTCAAGATTAGAAAAGGTTTTGATCATAAATTCTGAAATATAATGATACCCAAAAGGGGCGGAGCCTGATAAAATATTTTAGAGTACCGTTTCTATGGTAACAAAACATTCAATTATAAAACGGTTTTCACAGGATGAATTCTGAGTTTGTAAGCTTTCAAATGATACCTAATTTATGATAACTACTAAAATATGTGATATAATAAAAAAGGTGATACAAAAGATTTTATTTTAGAGATTAATATATATATATTATATTTTTTTAGAGGATAATATTATATTATAATTTTTATTGAAAAATACTAGATTATATGTTTTATTATGACCTGTTAGCATGAAAACCCAAAGTTTCAATCATTAAAGGTGTGTGCGTCAACTTTTTGTGACAAAGGTCAGAACTCCTGTTATGGTGCAGATTTTTTTGAGGTGCACTCTTGTCAAAAAATCATTGGTTACTCTTTTAACATAATTTGTAACAAAAAACAGCAGTCAAATATCTATTTAGCAGTCTTAGACCTTTCCAACGATATATAGTTTGTCATGACTAGATTAGCATTTAATAGTAATATAGTGAAGTCAATTTAGGTTGCCCGTATACGGGCAGGTGACAGGTAGTGTCCTTGCTGAATAAAAGTATTAATTCATTTTTTGAAAAAAAAAAAATCTTTTCAAAAACTTCTCAACCCATGTGGTGTTTCAGTCAACTTTAGATGAAATGAACCGTGAAGGAAACAGTGCTATGAGCGACTCTTTAATGAATTACTCACTCTCACACACCAACATCGGTAATTAGAGACTGTTAGCAACTGTTTACATGCACACGGATATAGACAGATGCTCCGCCATTTGTCGTGTACATCTCTAAGGCTCTCTCAGCGACTGTTATTTCCCAGTTTCAAGAGCGACAGGGTGTTCTTTAACGCAGCTTTTACGACCTTCTCGCTTTAAACCAGATTGCATTGTCGTGGGTTTTCATTGATAGAAAACTGCAGAACACTCCAGAACACTCTTGGTGGCATCGTGGCAACAGACTGGATCCATCACCGTTCAATCCATGTTGGCTGTGGAGAGTTAGTGACAGAATTCAATTTTCCCCCGTGTCAGGTGTGCGTAATGGCTTCTATTTTTAACCCCAATCAACAGCAGACAGATATTGAAATTCAGGGCAGATGTGCGGATGTTTCTGACCTTCACTCCCTTGATTAAAATGACAATATAAGCACCAGGTACAAAAAGAAATGCCCCATGAACATTTATGATTACGCAAGTCAGGATTTAGATCCAAAAATCGGAGACCACAGAAAATTGGATGTTTAAAACATAATGTAAACCTGGAAATCAACAAAAAAAACTTCGATTTTGAATGAGGAATAATGTTTCTTTTGGGGAAAACGTGCCTTCATCTACATTTTACAATGGCTAAATGCAATTCACTGCGGCTGAAATGAACATTTGAGGCAATAAAATGTCAATGACTTTTATTATTTTTCTCACAAAGGATGAATAAAGGGGCAGATTATGGATTAATAAAGATTTGTTTTCAAGTGCACAATGCTATATTTTGAAATGTCTGGTGTTGTATGTCTTTAATAAAGAAGTAAATGTGCTCAGTAACACACTTGGAACAGAGCACTCAGTTAAAACCCGAGATACACACGCTACACCACTCGATTAAAAAAGCTCAAAGTCTCGTGGCATGGTTGCTTCAGCAATGTGTTTTTATCTTACTTTCTGGCACTTTTGGTTGGGTTTAGGGTAGTCTTGCGTAGCCAGATCTTCAGACTGACAGCAGAATCCAATGACTGACCAAGAGACCTTCTGACGGACATATAAAGCCTCCAATCACAGTTCGTTTTGTTTATGTGAAAATGTGATGTTGATGTCCCTACTATAACAGACTGGCGAGTAAAGCTATGCCACAAACTTTACATGCTTCACACTTGTATAAACTTGTACCAGTTGATCCTGTAAACACGTCAGCTTTCTTCTTCCATAAGGAGGTTTGGTGTCACAACAGCTTTGGTTCTAGGCAGACTGTTAAGGAACGTGACACATGTCCCCCTGACGTCCTAGATTTCAACCAATCAGATGACGACTTTGAATCTCCTGAAGTGTTCCCCATTTTGTGTGCCACACGCATCAAATGTTCAGGTGTGACGTCTGAGGCTTGAGACTAGGTTTAGGGTAGGGTTTAGTGTACCTGGTACATAAAAAAAAAAAAAAAAATTATAGAGCATTAGCACCACTCACCATTTATTTCTGAACTGCCATGATATTTACAACAACCAGCATAATAAAATGTTGCCAGATTCACATTATGATCAAACCGAATGTGCTTATGCATGCCTCTCACTGGAACATTTCACTTTGAGGTGTGTCGTGAAACGCACATTTTTTTTGTTGCAATGATATTATAATTTAAAATAAAAAAAGACGTATAGCATTTATATAAAGGCATTTTCACTGGTGGTCTCAATACTTTGGATCCCACTTTAGATTACTTCTTTTAGAATATGCATGCTGATATAAATGAGCCACTTGAAAAGCAATCCATATGACTTATGTCTCATTAAACTAAAAATAAACTATAAAAAGGATCCAGTCGGTATAAGAAGCCGTCTGTTACCATGGTAAAGGCTCAGAGAAGGAGACGGGAACTGACAAATGTTACTTACGAAATAAACAAACAACAAAATGAAGGAAAAGTTACAGCCTCTCACGAAAAATTGGCACACAAACAAAACAACATCATAATGTTCTGGCCTAGTCCTCTCTTGTCCTTCACTGTCACCACTCCTCGTTTTATCATTCCTCCGTAGACTGGAGACCGATGTGGCACGCAAGTGACACTCAAAAACCCTTGCACCACCGGCCTCGGTCAATTGTTAGAATGTAAAGTAATGGACATTATCCAAATTGTTCAGGCTTGCGGTCTTGTGACCTTCTCGTGCCTATGTCTGTTAAGGCAACACAACTCCAGGGTGTCCTTTTCGTCATTACATGATTCAGAAGGTCCTCGTGAGTATACCCCTTTTTGGCTGCTTTACACCCACAGTGCCCTTTTGTGAAGATGACGTTCCAATATCTAATTTGGGCCATCGAAATAAAGTGTTACCCTTTAAAATATTTAGCAATTGGTTTTGCCTGAAATGTCAGAGACTGAAAAACATCTTAATGGCGGAACTTGGGGGTCCTCGAGTCAGATTTGTGTGACACTCGTGTGAAATATTAAGTCTTGAGCTCAAACAGTGTAGTGGTGCTGATGTTATGAATATTGCAAAGTTATCCACTAGTTGCTAGGCAACCATACATCCCATCCATCCTAAAATTACAGAGAATGCAATTAGCCACAGACCTCGCATGCATGCAAAGTTTGGGGAGTTTTCACCACATGAAGAAAAGTTCAATTTTCCATCACCATGAAATAAAACATTGATTTTATTTTAGTCTTTTTGTGCGTGTGTGTGTGTGTGTGTGTGTTTAGTAAAGAGTATAGCATATCAATTCACATTATTTATCATTCAGCGTGAGCAATCCCTGCTTTATGGTAGGGTGTATTGATTTACATATTTGTCATGGACCTTTATTTATATATATTGCTCAGATATTGGTGAATGTGCTGATAGGTCATGGACTTTATGCTTGTTTTTAGAGTATATCACACATTTAAGATGGCTGTTGTGATCGCTATTCCCTTGTGCACTCTTATTCACAGTTTTTCATTTGTTTTTCTCTGTGCCTCTATCTCTCTCGTTCACAGGGATGAGATGAAGTCGCTCCAGGCAGCTCTGCAGAAACAACTGGATGATGCAGCTGAACGTGCAGAGAAACAGCAGGCCACCGTGAGACCCTTTACACTGATGTGTTAAACTATATAAATACAACCTGCTGAAAAGCTAAAAACATCAACTTGGCTTTTGGGGACTGTCGAAATACTAATGATAATTGTCTAATGGCCTATAGCTTTTGCAGCTTGCATGATTACTCATGACATTACTGTCCATGGCTGACTCTTCAGTTAAAGGAGAACTCCGGCGCAAAATTAACCTTTGGTCTAATAAGACATCAGTACCTAGTTGACCGTTCTCTGAGATTTGTTTTCATGATAATCGAATGTAAAGATTTTTATCTCTAAAAACTGTTTAGTGTATATGCTAGTAATGGGGGCATTTACTAAGTAAAAAGAAATTGCTAGTTTATACCACTAACAAGGCTCAAAATAGCCCCACACTAACACAGTAACATAATGAGGGTCCCTACATGCAAAACGAAGCATTGAGAACTTTGTAAGTGTACAGACCGTTTAATAAGACAGTCCACGTCGTGTATACAGGCAGGAGCCATCTTGGAAAACAGTCACGACAAGTCAAACCACGAACGTCGTGCTGAGTGATCTGAACTGTATGAAGACTATTTTCCAAGATGGCTCCTGTCTGTACACGAAGTGAACTGTCTTTATAAAGTACCTTCTTATTAAACGGTCTGTATACTTACAAAGTTCTCAATTCTTAGTTTTGTATTTAGGGACCCTCATTATGTTACTGTGTTGGTGTGGGGCTATTTTGAGCCTTGTTAGTGGTATAAACTAGCGATTTCTTTTTAAGATCTGATGAAATTGAAATTTAATGTAATGAAATTTTTTCACTTTTTGGAAAGAATAAAAAGCCTTGGGGTTGCTGACACAACAGGTTAGATAACAGTGAATAATCTTTTAATTTATAACATCAAATTTAAATACAAAAGATGCTTTCAGATCATGATGGAAAAGATTTGGATTTAATAACATTTCTGATATTCTGTCATCATAACGGAAACAGCAACAACTGTTTTTCAAAATGCTTAGCATGATAGTAGGCCTAATGGAAAATTGGAAAAACCTTTCTGGATAATTGAAAAATTACAAATTGTACATAACAATTACTGAAAAATACAGTAAAAGTACTACAAGTACAAGTAAAAAGAATAAAGTTATTATAAAGAGCAAGTTAAAAAGTCACAATACAAATAGAATACTGGAATATTAATATTTCAACACCCTTAAAAAACAGACATGAACAGACATTCAATATATAAAATATATATTGAATGTCTGTTAATGGAGCTTCAAAATAAAGTAGATATTAAGCACACAGTCTACTAATACTAATGATAGTTAGTTGACATGTATAGTTGCAAACATACTTATCTTTAAGGGTAAGTTTCACCCTTTAAAACTAGAATGATTTAAAAAAAAATCATAGTACTGTACAAATAGATCTCTCTAATTGAATAATTGAATTGTTTAGGTTTGTTGTTGCTATGTTGAAGCATTTTCAGACTAAATATCATGACTTTTCCATTTTGAATGTTTTTCCACTGCACCCTTCAAACGAATTACCAGGAAAACACTAGAATCCTCAATGAAGTCAGTAAGATGGCATGAGGGGCCATAGAGAGCCACTGCTATTTTAGGCATTTACCTTTAGGTATGGAAGAGTTATGTTACAGTAATTATGAAAAACCGGAGGAAGCACCTTGCTGTCTCTGGAAGAGATGCACATTTATCTGCATGCAACTTTTCTTGTTTCATCTCTGTGTGTGTCTGCGCCGTACTGCGGGGGATAGAGGCACAGGGGCTCGTGTTCGGAATGAGAATGAATCTCTCAGAATTAGCATTTCACCAGCTCGGGCCATTCTTTCCATTCTGTGAATAGTTCACCACCAATTGACACCAATTACAAAGAGCAAAGCTGATTCACAACCCCAGATATATTCACAAGCTGCAACAATGTGCCCGTTCAGTTCGGGAAATGTTAGCATTTTGCACTGCTGTTGAAACAGCCCAACGAGCTGTGACCTTTTGTTTGTCTTTTTATGCCAACCATTATATTAGCTAATTTTTATGTTGAGCCGTTAGCATTGTTCTGAGTTTTAAGGTTTATTTAATAAATCAGCTTATTTTAACTGCATATTCAAAACTTGTGCACTGAGAGACTGGTTTAGCATAATTTAACCACCCTCGTGTCATTGACTTTCTTTGATATTTAGTGTTGTTTATTTTCGTTGTTTTTGGTCCATACAATGAAAGCCAACGGGGTCGAGTGTTATGTTGGACCCCATTCACTTTCATTATATGGACAAAAATAAGGGAGAATTGGGAAGTTTGGAAGGAAGCAAGTTCGGAGGGAAGGAAGGAAGTTCAGAAGGAAGGAAGTTCGGACGGAAGTAAGTTCGGAAGGAAGTAAGTTCGAAGGGAAGGAAGTTTGGACGGAAGGAAGGAAGCAAGGAAGGCAGGAAGGAAGTTTGTCCGTTCATTCGTTCGGAAGTTTGTTTGTTCGAAAGTTTGTTTGTTCGTTTAGAAGTTTGTTCATTCGGAAGTTTGTCCGTTCGCTCGGAAGGAAGTTCGGACGGAAGGAAGCATGGAAGGCAGGAAGGAAGTTTGTCCGTTCATTCGTTCGGAAGTTTGTTTGTTCGTTCGGAAGTTTGTTAATTCGGAAGTTTGTACGTTTGTTCGTTCGTTTGTTTGTTTGTTTGTTTGTTCGGAAGGAAGGAAGGAGTGTAAATTATGACAGAACTTTCTATTTTGCATGAAAGTTTTAGTAAACTATCAGTTTAAGATTCTTTTAAGAACACAAATGAAATTATTCATGGACCTTTATCTGATATAAACCATTTGAAAGTATTCAACGAATCAAAACATGTTTAGTGAAGACACTCTGGATAGAAAAGACTCAGGGTGCATGTTGTTCACAAACAATGCCGCGTGAAACCAGGAAATGAGAAACAAGATACCATTCTTTTGTAATCCAAAAAAAAAAAAAAAAAAACAAGAATGAAGAAATATCTATGCATTGACTGCAGCATATCAATATATGAACTTGGACTGAATTCAATTAAATTGCTAATCAGAATGAATCCACCTGCAGCTACGCGGGCGTATTGTCTGGAAATGCGCACAGCTGCTCGGCCTCAGTATTTAGATGTGCTGTTGTTTTCCACAGTGTCTTTGTGTCTGGAGGGAGGAGAGAGAGAGGTAGTTTGACATTCAGGGCTGAGCTGGGTGAATAAGGAATAAGGAGCAATAGTGGAACGTTCTATTTGATTGGTGTTGCGGTTCACCCTCAGGGCAGTAAACACTTCTGATTCTTTTTTGGCTGTTTGTACCACGCTCTGGATTGTTTTGGGAACTCTCACTTCCACATTTGTATTCTACAAAGAGACGTGTTGATTTTTATATATATATGGTTCTCTTTTCATTTGAATTCATGAGGGGTGAATATGATTGACGTTTTACATTTGCGGTTATACAGGAAATGTACAGTAAGATCTGACCTACCTGTGTTATTCAATTTCCTTCTTCCTTTATTTTAATCTGTAAACCCCCAAACCGAGCCAATAAACCAATAAAATAAATACAAAATATATATGGCTCAGAACAGTGCTCGGCAGATCGCTTACGGATTTCGAATTACAGGAAAAAAATGTAGTTAACGTAATCCATTACACTACACATTTAAGGTAATGTAATCTGACTATGGATCATTAATCACATTGATTTGAAAAGTATAATACTATATTGATGTAAAAATACAAAGAGAAAGAAAATACATTTTTAAAAAGTGCATGAAGTGCATTAATGTTACGTTTCCCAGACTGAGGTTTGTCTCATGTATAGCCAACAAAACGTTTTAATGGAAAACTATTAAGTAAATAATGTTTTACATTTAATTTTAATTTCATCAGTTACTACCCAGGGCTGGCTCAAAATAATCTCAGAAATTAAATTATGAAATATTGAATTATGAAAATTATGAAATAATTGTGAAATTATAAAAGTGCAGTTACATTTCAGTTACAAAATTTGTAGCAGTAATATTTGTTAAAGAAATCATTGCTTTTATTTATCAAGGATGCATTCAATTGATTCAATTAATATAATAATAAATGTTTTTTGAGCATCAGATAATCATATTAGAATGATTTCTGAAGGATCAAGTGACACTGAAGACTGGAGTAATGATGCTGAAAATTCAGCTTTTGCATCACAGAAATACATTACCTTTTAAAATATATTAAACACAAAAACAGGAACTTTAAAACAGTAAAATTTTACTTTGTAATAATATTTCACAATATTATTTTTGCTGTAATTTTGATAAGTAAATGCTGCCTGTGAACAAATAAGACTTTAAAAACAGTACTTTTAAAAATCGTACTGTCCCTCAACTTTAGAACGGTAGTGTATATTTAACAGCATACTTTATTCTTTGTTAAAACAGTTTAAAAAAATATGTTTTTTTTTACGAAATGTTACTGTGGCCTTAACATGCACGTTTTTTCCCCCTTCCATAGATAAAGTTTTTAAAGATGGAGATGGAAAAGAAGACCAAAATCATCAAAGATCTTCAGCAAGAGGTACTGAGCGCCACAATTTTTTCTTTATAATTTTTAAACAGGAGGAAGTGTTTTTAATGTATTCATTCATGCCTCAGAACATCAAATAAAATAAAACTTTAATCCTTAATAGTCGTAGCATTTACAGGATATGTGAGATTAAATGCAATTAAATGAAACAATGTTGAATGTTTTCATTCATCAAGGAAGGAAGAGAACGATGCAGTTGTTTTTGCCCATGGCTGGTCATAAATGAATGGAGAAATTATGCTATAATTTATGACATCAAATATGACTACTGCAATATGCTGCTATTCTGCGGTGGAATGGTCTTTATTCGAACATAACATTTAAATCGTCAACTTAAGTCAAGGGAATGTGTTAAAGTACTGGTGAAAAGCTTATCAGTCAAGTTAGCTTTATGGATTTTCAAAATAATAATAAAAAAATAAAGATTTAAAGGGATAGTCATCATTTACGATCTAAACCTGTCATGACAAGAAGTCTGGAACTGCTTAAGGACAAAAAACAAAACCATTTTTTTATTTGTATTATCTCCCACGGAATAAAGAGTCATACAGGTTTGGGCCTGAATAAAGTCTGACAGAAGTCTTATTTTTGGGTGAACTGTCGCTTTAAGGCTGATGTCTGAAGTGACTTGACTCTGATCTGCTTGGGTGGATCCCTGTGTCATCGCAGTCTAGCATTGCAGCCTCGTGTCACTTTTAATGACAGCTGCCATTTTTCTTCCAGACTTGGGCACTCGTTCTTCTTCAGAGAGGGGTTGAGATGCAAGTGTGTGGATTTGATACTCCCCCAATTCCACCTCATTGAATCGTATTGCAATGCCATTCTGCTTCATTACCTCAAACACCCTTCCACTTGCTCTCAGAACGTCCCTTCCTTTCTTTTCGTTCTCCTTTGCCATTCTCTCTCTTTCACGCACAGTCACTTTAATGCAACACCTCTGTGACCCAGCAGCTATTATATATTCTCCAGTCAATCTGTTGGTGTGGGCCACTGCGACCTGTTGCACAGCAGGTGTTGCAATTACTGTAAAAGTAGCAAAGAGCCTGTTGAACTTCCAGCGTTAATTTAATGACGGAAGCACCGGACATGCGGTGTGCAAAGCGAGGGTTCTGCTGTGATAATAGCTGTGCCATTTTTAGTTGTTTTGAAATTTTCTCTCAAACGTCACTTGGTGGAAATGAGTGAAGCACTGATCATTTCTGCACCCAACATGAAAGAATTTCACAATTTGGCGCAATAAAGTGAAATCTGCACTTAGTTAGGCTGATGCAATCAAATGATGCAAATTTAGCCCCCATTTTATTTGTGCTAGCATGCAACTTGGTCTCATTTTCACAATTTTTCTACCAATAAACACAAACTTGAAAGGGAATCAACACTCTGAAGGGCGTCTCATTATGTCTTGCATGCGTCTACAAAAAGACTTCACTGCCACTTAATTTTTAAACCAGTTTGGACCCACTTTTTTTAAAGGAGTAGTTCACTTTTGAAAAAAAAAAAAAAACTTTTGCTGATAATTTACTCACCCCCATGTCATCCAAGATGTCTTTCTTTCTTCAGTCGAAAAGAAATTAAGGTTTTTGATGAAAACATTCCACAATTTTAAACCAAAGACCTATCGTCACAAACATATAATGGTAACACTTTACAATAAGGTTCATTAGTTAATGTATTTACTAACATGCACTAACCACGAGCAATACATTTGTTACTGCATTTGTTCATCTTTGTTAATGTTAGTTCATGAAAATACAGCTGTTCATTGTTTGTTCATGTTAGTTCACGGTGCATTAACTAATGTTAACAAGATTTTAATCAAGTATTAGTAAATGTTGAAAATTACGGAGGCGTATTGCATTCACTTGAAGAAAAAAAAATCTACTCTGTTTTTCTGAATTAATAAGTTAATTTTTCATGCGAAAAAGGTTTTTGCTCTGTTTTTCTGAATTAACGAGTTAATTTTTCATGGAATTTTTTTTTTTGCTCTGTTTTTCTGAATTAATGAGTTAATTTTTCATGAGAAAAAAAATATTTTGCTCTGTTTTTCTGAATTAATGAGTTAATTTTTCATGGATTTTTTTTTCTCTGTTTTTCTGAATTAACGAGTTAATTTTTCATGGAATTTTTTTTTGCTCTGTTTTTCTGAACTAACAAGTTAATTCAGAAAAAACAGAGCAAAAACTTTTTTTCTCACGAAAAATTAACTCATTAATTCAGAAAAACAGAGAAAAAAAATATTTTCTCATGAAAAATTAACTCATTAATTCAGAAAAACAGAGAAAAACTTTTTTTCTCATGAAAAATTAACTCATTAATTCAGAAAAACAGAGCAAAAAAAAAATTCTCATGAAAAATTAACTCATTAATTCAGAAAAACAGAGAAAAAAAATTTCTCATGAAAAATTAACTCATTAATTCAGAAAAACAGAGCAATTTTTTTTCTCATGAAAAATTAACTCATTAATTCAGAAAAACAGAGAAAAACTTTTTTTCTCATGAAAAATTAATTTATTAATTCAGAAAAACAGAGCAAAAAAAAAATTTCTCATGAAAAATTAACTCATTAATTCAGAAAAACAGAGAAAATTTTTTTTTCTCATGAAAAATTAACTCATTAATTCAGAAAAACAGAGTAGATTTTTTTTCTTCATGTGAATGCAATATGCCTCCGTAGAAAATAACATTAACAAAGATTAACAAATGCTGTAAATGTGCTATTCATTATTAGTTCATATTAACTAATATAGTTAACTAATGCTAACTAACGAACCTTATTGTAAAGTGTTACCCATATAATCAAACCCATAAACGTGTGGCCGGGGCTTTTCTCCATGTTCTGATGCTGGTTTTTAGAAAGGTGGTGAACAGTATGGTTTGTGTAACATTAGCAACACATTATTAGCTGTTTGATAACGTAGGCAAGCCAAAGGCTAATCATATCAATTACCATTAGCCTATTTGTCTGATGTTGTAGAGAATGATACATAAAACGCATTATCATTCTGATGCATCGACCCTGTACAATTCACTCTTCCTCTTCTGAATCAGTTTCTGGTTCAAATATATATGGCTGGACTAAACCAATATTTCCACTTGGCATTGTGTACACAGGAAGTCCGAGCTGGTGTGAGTGAGTGGGGGTGGGGCTAATTTGCATATCCATGTATACTAAGTGAACCAAGGGTGTAGAGTTGCATTCAGGCTATTTTAAGGCATGAAGAATCATGACAGGAAAAAACATTTAAATATGTAATTTTGATAATCAAAGATGATTCTTTAATCACTGACTGCAGGGAGACTGTAATGACCCAACGGAATGATTAATTATAATTGTTGTGTCTACAGAAAATAATTTCCAGAACTCTCACAACCTAACTATCAATTTGTGTTAATGACTGAAGTTTTTGTGTAAATGACTCAAGGTTTTGTGCATGTTTACGCTGAATACAGAATGCAGAAATAAAAATGCTAATGCATTGTTGTCTTAATATTTCAATGCGTATTGTTTTAATGCTCTATAACAATTAAAGGTAATTGTGCTTCAACTGTCACTAACTCTAATTGCATGGTCGCTGATGGGTTTTCCCTGCAAAACAACACCAAAAAATACATCCTAATTCAGGAGAAAAGCCTCTTGAAAGTCAGAGCATTGTTTTTTGGGCTGCAATTATCAGAAAAAAAGTCCTGTGAAATTCTGGTAGGTCTGAATCTGGGTGACATTGCCAGTAAAAGCATGTGCGTTTGCATCTGAGAGCAACAGACAAAGGAAGTGAGAAACTGAAGCCGAGAGAGAGAGAGAGATAATGAGAGGAAAAATAAAAGCAAAAAGGAGAAGCAAAACAGAAGAGGAGGTGGAGAAAAGCACTAGATTAAACTCAGCACCACCATCATCCCTGTATTGATTCTTAATCTACCATCATCTATTTCCATAAAGACATCCACTGCATGTTATTACAGAAATGAGGCATATACTCTTGGGTCACCTTGAGCTTCAATAAGCTTGTGAGGGAACTGTCAGAATGAGCGCTGTGGAAACAGTTGAAGCATGGCTTTTGTCTGCAGGGACAGGGTACCATTAAACTGAGTGTATTTACCTAGATAAAACAAGACGTCGGGGCTTGTTTCATGCTTGATGTTACAAAGCCGACTGTACGGTATATCTCTGTTTATTGCCTTGCAGAATAAAAGCTTGAAGAACAAACTTCTGTCGGGGACCAAGCTCTGTGACATACACACAGAGGAGGTATGTTGCGTCGGACTGTTGCACACACATGCAAACACACACACACACACACTGTAGGAAATATGCCAGCATTCATACTTTATCCTTCAAGCGCTTCAGGCCGATAATACAAGGCCTATTTACACCTAAGATTTTTGAGCTTGATTTTGAATGCAAGGTCCAAAAATATCGAAACATATATTATTTTAGTATTTATATTAGTATGTTTCATGATTATAATTAACAAAACGTTTTTCTCTTAAACGCAGTGGACAAAATCTTGCATTCCCATCATTTGCTTAAAACTAAAACACACACATGTACAATATACAGTAACACACATACATAATGTCAATATGATTTTTGATATATATATGTATGTGTATATATATATATATATAGGGCTGTCAAACGATTAATCACGATTAATCGGATCCAAAATAAAAGTTTGTGTTTACATAATATATGTGGGTGCACTGTATAATTATTATGTATATAAATACACAAACGTGCTTGTATATATTTAAGAAATATATTTTCATTTATATATTGTATATAGATTTATATATAATTTATATTATATATAAATATAAATATTTTACATATAAATCATATTTTTTTCTTAAATATACATGCATGATATATATATATATATATATATATATATATATATATATGTACAAAATAATTACACACGGTGCACCCACATATATTATGTAAACAAACTTTTATTTTGCATGTGATTTATCGCTTGACAGCCCTTTAATATATATATCCAAAATAAACGTTTATGTTTACATAATATATGTGGGTGCACCATGTGTATATATATATAGTATATATATATATATATATATATACATTTTATTTATAATGCACTTTTCTAAAACCCAAAGCACTACAAACAATAAAAACAAGTAAAAATACAAGTACAAAAGTAATACAAAAATACTCATTACAGTACACATCATTAAAATACTAATCATAAGTCAGTATAAGCAATTTTAAAAAGATGTGTTTTTAACAACTTCTTAAAACTGGCCAATGTGTTAGCAGCTCTAACAGAGGATGTGCATATATATATTAAAAAGCAATTTATTTCAGTAATGTCAAAGCTGAACTTTCAACACACACACACACACACACACACACACACACATTCTAGTTTGGTGCTAGATTCAAGTGCAACCAACTTGATATTATAAATTAAATCTTCCAGTCATTGCAAGCAAAGGAAATTGCCAAGGTAGAGAAATAAACGCTAGTGTTATTTTGGTTCTCTAAGGGAAAGAGAGTAATGAAATGTCATTAGTTTTGTGGAGGTGTTGTATACTTCAGTTACGAAGAGATCACTGAAGACACTGGGGCTATAGAGAAAGAGAGGTGTGTGTGTGTGTGTGCGCGTGTTCCTGTGAATGTTTACAACTGTGGCAGCAATCCACAGGCAGCAAGCCAAGACAATGCCATAGCATGAAGTGAGTGTGATTGTGCGAGTGTGTGTTGATGTGTTAATGTGTTCGCGTGGTCCCTGCAGTCCACTGAAGGGAAGAGTTTTATATTTTCTTGCTCAGTGACGGACTCTGCTTTAAACTGGAGCTTTGCCCAGCAAAGGCACACAAAGGAACACTTCGGCGCGGCCACAAAGAGCGCCGCTACACAATCTAAAACCAATTTTACTATTTGAATAAGCTAACGCACGTTCTCTCTTATCTTCTTTTTGCAGTCCAAAAAAATCCAAGCCCAACTGAAAGAGCTGCGGTATGGCAAAAAGGATTTAATTTTTAAGGTAAGAACCAAACAAAGAGGATGTGTCATTACTGTACCCTTGCATGATGCGCAGGGGCGTTAGAGATGATTTTACCCACAGGTCTGAAGTTTAACGCTATTGTGTGTTGTCTTGTTAATGCAACCATTCATAAGATATTTATGTCCGGCCGCTTCATCAGATGTACCGCGTGTAATCTCTTGATGAGCAGTGTCCACGTGTTTACTGTACTACTGAAACAGGAATTTTCAGCTTGACCTTGGATGAAATATCTACCATTCCAAAGTTTGGGGTCAGGAAGATTTTTTTATGATTTTGAGTCGTCTAAGGCTGCATTTATTTGATCCAAAATTCAATAAAAAGAGTAATGTTTCTATTTTAAAGGTGCAGTATGTAAGAATGACAACTAGTGGTCGGAATAGGTACTGCAGTCACTTCAAAATTTCGGAGATCGTCGTTTCTGGACGTTTTCTTCCACTCACACGGGTTGCCAGTTTGAGCACACGCAACAGGAACGAGCGCAATGGACAATGAAAATTGCGTGCAATATCACAGACCAAAACAATAACAAACATTCCAGCCTGAAAACGCACATTTCAAAGTTAAATAACTGGCGGTAGAAGTGTTTTTCAGAGAAAAGATTATGTGAACTTGGCATGTTTTCTCAATATATGTGATGCGAAATTGAATTTTCAGCCTCATTATCCAGTCTTCAGTGTCACATGATATTTATTTATTTATTTATTTATTTGGAAACCATGACTTTTTTTTTTAGGATTTTTAGATGAATACAAAGGTCAAAAGAACATTTATTTAAAATGGAAATCCTTTGAAAAAAAAAAATGCTCTTACAGTGACTTCTCTTACGTACACTCTAAAAAATGCTGGGTTGTTTTAACCCAACTTTGGGTCAAATATGGACTAACCCAGCCGTTGGGTTAATTTTTTACATTACATTTTTAACCCAACATTTTGGGTTTGTCCATATTTGACCCAAAATTGGGTTAAAACAACCCAGCATTTTTTAGAGTGTACTGACCCCAAACTTTTGAACAGTAGTGTATATATTTTAACCAAAGCAAAAAAGAGAAATAAAGTCAAATACATTTGCTATAAGTTCAACTTTTGGTTACAGAAGCATTTGAGCTTCCACAAATGATGCGAAAGCCAGAAATCCTCTTATTCGAATTTGGTGTATTTAACCTCTTTGAACCATTCTGACTTTTGAAAGTGCAAACAAAGCAATGTGAATGTCACCGTCAAAAAAAATAAATAAATACAAATTTGGGGCAAAATAAAACAGATTAGGGGTAATATGTGCACTCCTAGTTGAATGGTTTGACCTTTTTATGTGAGATGCGAGTGAAGTTTCATGGAAAAAAAACAACGACCTTTCCTGTCATGTCGGTTGACCTTTCCTCTCTTATTTGCAGTGTAAGATGGGAAAATGTCAGCTGATATTTCCAGCACATTGCCCTTTGGTACCATCACACAAGCACTGGGTTTTCACACAAAGTGCATCACTTTGAAACCATTGCTTCTTAATCGGGAAGACAGGCTAACACCTGTTGTCAAATATGTCTCGTCTATTTATGAGAAAGAACATGACTAATTTTGTTGGTCGTGGCGCCTGCAAAACGTATTCAAGAAGCAATATCTAATCTGGGCTTCTGCGTTTTAATCTGCGCTGTACATCAATGCCAGCCTTCCCCGTTTGAAATCAATGATGGAAGATTATCCCTTCTCCTTTTATATTCACGACTAAAGAAGTTATTATCAGAGTTTATTTCTAGAGTTGCCTTTTTAAGTACGATTCGGGTTTGAAGTGGCATTGTTCGGTAATGGGAAGCAAAGGTAGAATATTCAGATTCTCAGGATAGCGCAGCAAAGCTCGAGAAGGACAATGAGCAAGATTGCTTTGTCAGAGTACTTTCCCAGATCTAGCCAGCATTAAATGGATTTCTTTTCTTATTCAAAGCACTGCCATTTATCACAATCATTTTTAGTTGTACATGTACACATGTGTCAAATGATTCACAGGAACAGACTGTTATATACTATTCAAACATGTTAGCATTTACTTGGTACTGTAGATGTCCTTTATCACCGGTTTGTTTAAGATTTGCCAGTTTCTTTGGTGGCTCTTCTCTGCTTGAAAGATGTCTGTGAAAATAATTATACATTCAATTTTGATGGCAGTGACATAATAGCTTGTTATAACACAAAATCAGAATGATTGCAATTTGTTCTTTGTTTTAATTATATTTTGAATACAGTTTTCTTTTTTAATAAATCGGCAGCTACTTAACAAGCAATTAAGGATATTCCACACTCAAGTGTGATTATGGTAATATTACATTGATTGAAAACAAATCCCATTACAGAATATCCTGCATTTGTCAGTCAGTGTATATATAACAATGGACTTTTATTTTGTTTCTCAACCGGTTGGGTCTCGAGACCTTTTTAAGTGGTTCTCGGAACGTAAAAATAAAACGTAATTTGAAATGCTTTTCTGATGAGAGTTTTGAAACTTGTATTATTTAACATGACTTTTATTTTGAAAAACGTGCTTGAAAGCTGTTCTGACGTATTCTAAGTAAAGAGTGTCTGAGAAAGAAGTGTTTTCCTGATTCAGTATCTACTGTCAGATAGAAGGTTGTCAGGCAATATGTCAGTGTTATTTTCGTAATTTGTTAAGGAATAAAAAGTATCCCACCTCGGAAAAACGAACTTTCCTGTCCTGTCAGACTTTATACTGTGCTCTTCGATGGCACGCATTGTATTCACTAAAGAGCTAATTAAATTATGAGCATGCAACAAGTCATGTTGTTAATTAGTATATCATGGAATTATCAAAGTACCAAGGTATTTGAGAAATTATGGCAGTCATGTTAGTATTGTGCATTTTGTAGTTTACGTGTAACCTTAATCCAAAATAACACTTTATTTTCACTTGTGATTTTGTTTCAGTGTTTTTGATGACTGGTGGCTCAATGCCAAACAAATAGTTTGGGACTGCTTTTTAATAGCCTTACCTTATACTGTTTATTCATCAGTGTTAGCTATATTATTACAATTTATGTGTGTGTGATGTAAAGTGGGATGGTATTATGTTTGTGTCAACAGTTTGTTTGAGAAATAAGTTTGCTTGATTAAAATTCCTAAGAAATTGTGTCGCAGCTTAAGGTTTCATGGCCAAACCAGTTGAGAACCACTGACATAGAGTCACCAGTGCATTTATAATGTGATATGAAATGAAATATTAAAGATTTGTTTGGTTAGCCAGCTGCATCTGTGCGTGCGTGTGTGCGTGCGTGTGTGTGTGTGTGTGTGTGTGTGTGTGCGTGCGTGCGCTTGTGCTTAACAACTGAGTCACAAAATTCTATCTTAGAGGTATTTTTCTTTAGACTGATGTGTTTTCCATTGATTTTTTTTTCATACTCATAACCAAAGGCTTTAGTAGTTTCTAAAGGTTTAACCTCGTTCCTGAAAAACTATTCAAAATCGAATGGCTTCTTAGAACAAACAAAACGACTTCATCTTTTTTCATGATTTCAGGAACCTTGAAACTCGTGAAAGTGCAAAATCATAGCTTGTTCATTTTAGATGACTTACTCATATTTAAAGTGAACATTTAAGTCCATTCTGTAACGAATGAATACCTAAATGATCTCTTATATCCAAGCTTGTTAGTTTTCATTGCCCTGATAACGTGCGCTAATCATCCCAGATGGGCAATCTCTGTTACCTATTTAGATCTCAATGAGTCTCCTGTTGACTGCACACACAGCGTCACAGTCACACAGCAACATTTATGAAACTAAACTAATGACGGACTGAAGGCAGGTCATTATGTAGTTCTGCCTGAATAAAGAGCATTCACAGTAGAGTTCACTGAATCAAATATAGAAAGTGTGCAAAATGAGCAAACTAATCTAAGAACCACATTTTATTTGAGCAAGATTTATCTTTCAATCTGCTAGAAACATTCATTTATGTTTAGCTTAAAAATGGGTATTTTGCTTGTTTTTTGCACAGTTTCTATGCACAAAGTCTCTAAACAGAATATAGGATTAAAATCCGGTGCTCTTGGGTCATTTTTGACCAAAAATGTTTTGTATGGTTAGTTTTGTTTTTTGTTTGTTTATTAGAATTTTTAACTTCATTGGAAAGGTACAAAACTTGTTTGTTAAAAGTTTTGGCACTTGCTACTGTATGTGAACACACACACAAATATAAATGAGTGCATTGGAAATTGTTAGGAAAGAATTTCATCTCTACACTCTCAAAAAAAAGGTACAAAAGCTATTACTGGGGCTTTCAAAAGGTAAACTTTTGTCCATTTTAGGTGCTAATGTACATTTCAGGTGCTATTATGTACATTTTAGGTGCTGATATGCACATTTTAGGTGCTAATATGTACATTTTAGGTACTCACATGTACATTTTAAGTGTTAATATGTACATTTTAGGTGCTAATATGTCCATTTCAGGGGCTGATATGTCCATTTCACGTGCTAATATGTACATTTTAGGTGGCAATATGTCCATTTTAGGTGGTAATATGTCCATTTCAGGAGCTGATATGTCAATTTCACGTGCATTTTAGGTCATTGTATGTACATTTTAGGTGCTAATTTGTACATTTTAGGTACTGACATGTACATTTTAAGTGTTAATATGTACATTTTAGGTGCTAATATGTCCATTTCAGGAGCTAATATGTCCATTTTAGATCATAATATGGACATTTTAGGTGGCAATATGGACATTTTAGGTGCTAATATGTCCATTTCATGAGCTATGTCCATTTGAGGTGGTAATATGTACATTTTAGGTGCTAATATGTACCACTAAGGTACCAATATGCAGCCTTTGGGTACAAAAGTGTACCTTTTGAAAAGTTACAGCTCCAGTGAAGCTTTTGTACCTTTTTTTTCTGAGAGTGTAGAAATGTTTGATAGTGCACTCAACAACCTCAAATTCAAAGCTTTTTTTTAGATTTATGTTTTCTCAAAAAAAAAAAAAAAAAAATATATATATATATATATATATATATATATATATATATATGTATATATATATATATATATATTTCATATAAAAATTGAAAATAGTATTTTTGTGCATTTTTCATAAACAAACCTAAAATTCTATAACTTTTTACAAGTAGTTTGAGCTAAGACTTGCGAGTTTGGTGAGATGATAAGAGGATCAAATGCCTCTTCTGTGCAGGGACAGCAACTGATGGACTTGGAGAATAAACTGAAAGTAGCCAAAGATGAACTGGAGAAGGCAGCGCTGGATAAGGTGAGACATGAGCCGATGCGCTTCGTCATTCCAGTTCAGCTTTACTGTTTTTCTCTTCTGCTATCTTCTAAAATGTAAACATTGAGAACGAATTGTATTATCTCTTTAGGCCAGGGATTTTGCAATTTCAGCAGAGAGCGAGGAGCAAATGAACGGATAAATGGTTTGAGGACGAAAGGATAAGATGACAGCGTGATAAACATTTGCCTATTAATCTCATGCGTGTGTCTCACTTAATCTGTCGCAGGAGTCACAGCTGAAAGCCCTGAAGGACACCGTACATATCTGCTTCTCGTCTGTCCTACACAGCCAGACGGGGAGTTTACACAGATTCCCAGCAACACCCTCCAACCTGTTGAGGTACTCGGCCCTGCTCAACAACTCAAGAGTCACCTTTCAGCAGCCGCACGCCAAGGTACGAACACACACCGTTCTCTGATGTGAGGAAAACGCAAGATTTTAAACGATGTATAGTAGTCATGTCATAGTCATGCAATCAAGGAGATGGTTATTCACTGAAAAAGACATACATCAGCACATTATAGTGTTGTTATCTCATAAGCATAGTGTGATTTGTAAATTGACGATAAGAGGTTTGGTACTCTGAGGCAACATTTTAGGATTAAAAGTCATAATCTACTGTCATCCAAACTGTAAAGTAACAACTCTTTCAGTGCATACAGCACTACTGAGAACACACACATTAACAGTGCTTGATTTATTTAGCAGACAGTGTGGGAGAATCTGCGTCTGTTTTTTTTTTTTTTTTCCCCTAGATGACGCAAAAGCACTCAGCTTCGGTGAGAAGTGTTGCTCAGAATCTCAATGCTTACATGAACTGAACCCAGAGGACAGAGCAGTGCTTTTTGATTACGCTCCAATACTCTTGTCCATAAGCAAGAGGTCTCTCCACAGAACCGTATTAGAGAACATCAGAAGACCTCATAAAACAAGGCTTTTGCCTTCAGCTCTCTTTTTATGAAGGAAATGTTTAGGTACTGAACATGGTATATAAAATGCATTATTATTAAGACATGAAAGAAAAGAAAATATGCCGTATCTTCTCATACAGTGTCATATTTGTTTAATTTCCTTAGAATCTTTACCTGAAGTGTCTCACTTTGAGCTTTTCAGCAAGTCTTTCATCGGAAAACGGAAACATCTAAACCTTGAAAAGTCCAAATG